GGGGGGGGGGCATATCAGTGGCGCCAGCGGGCGCTCACGCCTTGAGATAACCTTTTGTCTCCGTCCCTTTATATTCGCCGTGCTGCTATCGCTGCGCGCCTGCATATTCCCACACACTCGTCGCCTGCTGCTGCCGCCACCGCGTGTTTGTTAACATAGACGTGCTCGCAGGAATAATGACAAGTCAGTTTCGTGCTAATGTTTAGCAGATGATACGCAGTTATCAGCAGCTAGTACTGTAGAAAAGTTATTCAGTTTGCTTGTTCAAGCGATAAGTTGTCAACTTGTACAGATCACCATTTTAAGAACAAGTCAAACAGTTTATTAGAACGCATTTTTTGGAGTTCAATTTTTACAGTCCTTTGGTATTGCACATGAGTACCCAAGTGCTGGCCGATCATATCAGGGCTGAGCAGAGTACTTATGTGAAATATCAGTTTCGCAGTTAAATCTAGTTAGCACTGGTACAAAAATCTTGCTTTCATAACGGGACACGGGACACGCACCACACTGAGAAAAATGTTTGGTCCGCACGATTAGAAAATGTGGTTGCAGACTAAACTTTTTCTGCTAATGGCCAAATCTTCCCGTGTTGACAACATTTTGGTTTACTTAGCAAATTGTCCGCATGAGAAAATAAGTGTCTACTGATTTTAACAAAACTTCGTTGGGGGGACGATTTTTTTGTGGTGGGGGGGGGGGGCATGACAAAAGTACCTTACTTACTATTTGGATCCTAGTCTTAGTATGTACGTATCTCGGGCTGTGTACCTACGACTCGCGTGGCTGGCTCCTGCCGCCGAGGCTCCTGCTTTCGCATTTTCGCCAGCAGGTGCGCGCAGATTGTAGAACAAGTTGGGGTGGGTCACCCTTTTGAGGCGGCGGGCTGCGAAGAAAAGGAAAAGAGGGAGCTGCGGCGCTCGCAGCCTGTGACTAAAAGACTCGCGTGGTCGCGTGGCCCGCGTGCCTCCAGAGCCTCTTCCTCCTTGTGCCTCACCCCGCCCCTAATAAATTCCGGGCCGCGCTGTGAAGCGCCAGGCTATGCGCGGCATATGGCCGCAAAGAAACCCGCAAATTTTGCCAAGCGAGCAAAACGCACGGCGCGGGGCGGGGCGGGGGCGGGGGCGGGGTGGGGAGGAGTGCCTGCGCCGCGCTGCCTGCTGCCGAGATATCGCCCGCCAACCGGATAGTGGTGGGTGCTTCCAAAGGCAAGTTTCTGTGTGTACTCTGCGTCTCTCTCTCTCCCTCCCCTTCTCTCTCTCTCTTTCTCTCTCTGTAGCGCACTCGCGCAAACTAACTCCTCGACTCGTTTCAGCACTCCCCAAAACGCGTGCGCAAATATTGTGTGCAAAGCGGTGCAAAGTCGTCAGCAGATATTCCCCTCGACGCGCCGTCGTCCCCGCGTCTCATAAATTGTTAGGAACAGTCCGAGCATAATAGGGAAATAATTGGGCTGTCCACCGCGGACTGGGGGTTTGTTTCACCTGCATTATTGCTGTAGGACGTGGCCTCACAGCTGGCCGCTCAACTGTATACCAAAGAGCCAGGGAGAACCGCTTTGAACGCTTTTCAGTGGTTGGTTGGTCTTGATGGTCTGCATTCGGTCTGTTATCGGTCCTATCCTTTAGCATGCATTCCTGCATCCCTAAATGCATTACGCGCGGACGCCATATCTGTGGCAAATGTGTAGACTGTCGGAAGTTTTTTTGACTAAGTTGTGGGAAATGAGGTAAACGTATCACTAAGAGGTATGAAGTTTCAAACTCTCAATCGAGTAGGCAAAAAGACCTTTTAAAATAACACCCAGCTGTAAAACATTAATATTTGACATAAGCAAGCTTCAACAGCCTAAAAACACTTACGTCATTCTAATTCAAATTATGATTTGTGGCAGAGTGTCGCAAGTAAACTTACGACAGATGAAATACCTATGGATTTCTGGGAAGAGTGTCGTCAGTTAACTTGCTACAAATTTACCATAAAATAAACCACAAGAACTATTTTTCAGCAACAAAGTCTTAGGAAATCATTGCCATGATCATAAATGCCTTCTTAGAGTAAGCTACAAAGTGATTTTTACCTCTGCTCCTCTTTGTTGATAGCAGTATCTTCAGTTCTGAGCTGAACAGTCTCCACCCTCCTGTACCTCCCTTACTATAGGTCCCAGAAAATTTTTAAGAAGACAAAAATTGTATAGTTTGACTTGTTCTATGAATCCATTGAAAAGTCACTTGGTGTCATAAGTAGACCTACGACAGTCTACACATTTGCCACAGATATTAGTGATGACCTTAGATTACGAAACGTTTATGATGAGGAGTACCGTGATATACCAAAGTGTTCAACTGCCACTTGTATAATTGTGCAAATGCAAGTTAAATACTTTGCAAATATTCAAATTTGTCGTTTGCGCATTTGCAAGTAAGTGCTTCACTCGGAAGCTGTGCACCTGAAAGTGTGCAACTGCCCTGTGTAACACTTCCCACGCCGTATGCGTCCAGTTTAAGGAAAAGTTCAACGGAGCAATTGATTCCGAGTTATTGACCACATCGCTCGTCCCTAACTCAAAGCACGCACGGCGCAGCGCCTCTAGTGAAACCATAAGTATCTTTGCGCGACTCTCGTTAAACCAAGTTTTGTTGCGCCACGCTGGTGAAACAACGTAACTCAATTTTAGGTGATTTTTGGAACCTTTACCATTCAATAGGGAAATTTTCACTATACTGAAATATATACTTCCTAAAAAAAACGTTTAAAAAATGCGTTACGTGGTTTCAGCATTTTGAAGGGTCGCGCAACCATACTTAGTTTCACGAGTGTCGCGCAAAGATACTTGGCTTCACGAGGCGCTGCGTCGTGCGTGCTTTAAGTTAGGCACGAGCGACTTGCAAGAGGTAAGCTACAAGGCAGTTGAGCGCTTGAGAGCATTTGACTTGTAGTTGCGCACGTTACACTTTATCATTGTACCATCAGATGTGACACATGTGTAGCCGACGAGGTGCCCAACTCCCCGAGTGTCTTTCTCTCTGGTCACTGCCCAGCTGTACAGCGCAGCGGACGCGGCCGGGGGCGGCCGGGGGCGGCCGGGGGCGGGGCGGTCGCGCGGGGCCGAGGTTAGGGACGGGCTCCGTGATTCATGGCCGGATCGGGCCCGCTGATAGTCGCGTGTAGGAAAGGTAAGAATATTCGCGCAAATTTG